TATATATATATATATTGAAAATCAATTTCATACCCGAAACAAAATAGCGCGCACAACATAATCAATATGCTTTACACTATTGCCCAAGCATAGAACAAACAATTCACAATTTTCACTTCCAATGACTTGCAAAACAAATAGCGCTAATATTGCATAGCATCCAAAAATGTGTTAGAAGTTTTATTAGGAAATAAGTTAATCATGTAAGAGGTTATGAGGAATAAATTTGTTATTTATATTAGAAATTATTTTCTTTCCTATTTTATATTTACTTCCTTGGATTAGAAGTTATTTCTTTTCCAATTTAGGTTTTTCTATTTTATATTATTTTCTTTTATCTCCAAATAACTAATATGAAGTGATTAATTAAAAATATTATACGATATATCTTTTCTTTCATATTATTTCCTTTTTATTATCTTTCATATTCTAGGATTCATGTAGGAGCTATTTATACCCACTCTCATATCAATAAAAAATTCCACTTTATTCTGCATTTTCTGAATTTCAACATGGTATCAGAGAAATTCACTACCCTAGCCTCTAATCCTCTCTCCAGAGTCGTTAGACTCTCTTTCTGCCATCCTCCTTGCAAGAAGGGTAGGACGTTGTCTCTCCCCTCTCACAAACATTCTTTGCTCCGTCGTCGGGTTCTCCTTGGAGAAGGAAGCGGCAAACCACGAAAAAAAAGGTTTCCAGTCGCCAACAAAAGAAGCCGCGCGAGATGGAAAGACAAGAAGGTGGGAAGACTTAAGTAGTCACCTGTTGGTTGCAATTTTCTTGCGGATAGGAGTAGCATATCTTATATCCAATGTGCCATATGTGTGCTCAGTGAAGCGATACGTTGCGTGGGATCCATTTTGCTGGTGTGTGGTTGACTTCCGGGGTTGTAACAATATTTCTCACCATCTCGGTTGTTGGAGAGATGAAGCCGTTGACTTCGCCGATCTCTTCGATTTCGCAATCACCTGAAGTGAGGTCATAGATTCTGCCTACTTCCCAATCTTTTCCGATGAGATAGATCTCAAATATATCGCAAAAGAGTGTTCAATGCTTCAATATTTTAGCATGAAGAATCCTAATGTATTTGACACTGAATTTTGCAAGGCCATTCACAAAATTGAATTTCACAAGGTAATAGCAGCGGATGAGAACTTGATCTACCATCAAGTCCTTTGATATGTCCTTACTCAACTTGATGGATTGAAGGAGTTTGAATACCTTGATGTCTTTGGTTAAAATCCATATGGTTCGTTGGGTTATAGTGCTCCTGCTTATAGTCATGGGCTACCAATGGTGTTGGAGGGTATGGCAGCTACGGAAACACCGGGGCATATGGAAATCCTGATGGACTTGTTGTTGGTTATGTCAGTGAACCTCCAGGAACTCTAAGGAGTGGGTATGTTTTTGTTGGTTATGGCGCAAATGCAGGGTGTGGAGGAGTTGTTTCAAGAGACACAGGTCAATTTCCCAATGTTGCAGCCAGAAATATCAATTTGCAAGCACTCCATGTATCAGACCTTTCTCCGGAGCTTTTTGCTATCACAGGCCCATTTCCGGAGCTTTTCCTGCAGTAGGCCCTCCTCCGAAATATTTTCTATAACGGACCCTCCGAAATATTTTCTGCAGCAAACCCTCCTCTGGAGTCTTTCTTGTAGTAGGCATCCTCCGAAGTTTTTTCCAACATCACCTCCTCCGGAGTTTTTCCTGCATCGGGCCTTTCTCCGGAGTTTTTCCTAGAGCAAGTTCTCCATCAGAAGTCTTCCTGCAAGAGCCCCTCCTCCGAAGCCTTTTTCTACATCAAGCCCTCCTCCAGAGTTTTTTCTGCATCAAGCCCTCCTCCGGAGCTTTTCCTGCTACAGGTACTCCACTGAAATTCTTCCTGCAGTAGGCCCTCCTTCGGAACATTTCCCCGCATCAGGCCTTCCTCCAGAACTTTTATTGTATCAGACCCTCCTCCAGAGCTTTTCCAGCAGTAAGACGTACTTTCATGGTTTTTTTTTTCTTTTTTTTCCTTTTTTTCTGCAAGTTATACCCCACAACTTTTTCTGGAGGTTGTCTATTTCCCTGCAAACTCTCATGCAGCATTACATATAGGAGCTTTCCTTCTACCTACAAAACACTTTGGGAACTGAAGTCAAAAACAATCATAGTCAACTAGAAGTCAATATTTTCCTATAGATTGTCGACTTTCCTATACTCCCCTGCAACATTATCTGTAGGAGTGTTTTGCCTACCTACAGACACTGCAGAAATTGCAGTCAAAGATAACTGCAGTTGTCTACATCCCTACAAACACTCCTGTAGCACTACCTGTAGAAGTCTTCTGCCTAACTACAAACACTGCAAAAACTGCAGTCAAAGACGATCGCAGTACAAGATGAAGACTTTATTTTCTACTTCATTGGATTTCCCTCGCCCATTATTTGTTATTTTTAAATCCAAGTTAAACATGATTTTCAACCATACTTCAACTTGAAGGGGGAGTGTTAGAAGTTATATTATGAAATAATTTATTCTTATAAGAAGTTATGACAAATAAATTATTTCCTTGGATTATAAATTATTTCTTTTTCTATTGTATATTTATTTCCTTAGATTAGAAATTACTTATTTTTCTATTTTATTTTTATTTTCTTAGATTAACAGTTCTTTCATTTCCTATTTTATATTTAATTCCTTGGATTATGAATTATTTCCTTTCCTATTTTAGGTTTTCCTAATTTTTGTTTTTTTTTCTCCAAATAATTAATATGAATTGATTAATTTGAGATATTAGGTGATATATTTTTCATTTCATATTATTTCTTTTTTATTACCTTCCCTATTCTAGGATTCATGATGGGTTTATACTCCCTCTCATATCAATGAAAAATTGTTTTGTTTTGCATTATTTTGAATTTCAACAAACATATATGGCTAAGCATAATTATAATGACTTGCCATTCTCAGATATGATTCTAGCAATTAAATTATGACAAAGAATATTTGATGCAAGAGCTTGCTAGGTCGTACCAACCCACTTGGTTGAACCAACAATGGTTCAAGTCCAGCGGGAGGTTGGACAGGTCTCCTCTTCCTTTAGGCAGGACTTACTGCCCAGTTCCCCCCTCCCT